GCGACCGAGCAGGAACCGCATGAGAGCGAAGACAATTTACTCGTCGGTCAATCTCCTCTTATTCCACGCCTTAGGCATTCTAATTTGGATGGGGTTGCGTATGAGCTTGCGTATGACATTGCGTATGAGTTTGTATGAGTTCGTGTGAGTTTGCGTATGAGTTTGCGTATGAGTTCGTGTTAGTTCGGTTTGCGTTTCATGTTATTTATCGGGTTTCGGGCGTATAATTCGCATGAATCCAGACGCAAACTCATGCGCGAACATGTCCTCCCCCACCCGCACTCTCACCGAAACGTCAGTCCGGTGTGCAGAGGGCCCCGTCCCCGGTTTCAACTGCCTCCTCTCTCCGACTGTCCTGGAAAGTGGCGATGGTGACAAATCCCGCCGTAGCCATCTGGGCTCAAAAAGTTTTCGACGCGAGCGAGGGTTCGTGAGCAGAGTTTCGGTATTTAGCGGCATGGCGTTCCAGTTTGCGCCGCCAGATCTCAGGGCTGCTCTTCCTGCGCACTCGATCGGCGAGTTGAGGCGCTTCGTCCTCGACAACCCGCACAGGATGGCGATTCGCCCAGAGTGGGTCCTGTGTGCGCACTACGGCGTCATCAGGATGACGGAGCAGGACGTCCAGAACTACGAGGATGGCCGCATCGCGCTCATCGATGACCACCTGCCGCAGCAGCAGTTTCAGCCCAATCATCAGCTGTACCTGGAAGCTCTCGAGGTCGACTACATCGGAGATCCAAACGACCCGTACTTCGGGGAAATCAATTGGTTGGAGGACACGAGCCCTCGTCAATGGGTCGTTGAGCAAGATCGCGGCACGCCAGTTCAGTCAGAAGATGATGATGGCGCCGACGCCGCGATGGACGCAACGATGGAGGGCAGCGACCGCGACTAGGCAGCCCCAGCGATGGTCGAGACGGCAACTCCAGCGACTGTCGAGACGGCAACTCCAGCGACTGTCGAGACGGCAACTCCAGCGACGGCGACTCCAGCGACGGTCGAGACGGCAACTCCAGCGACGGTCGGGGCGACCGCAGCGATGGTCGAGGCGGCAGCTCCAGCGATGGTCGAGACGGCGACTCCACCGACGCTCCATAGCGACAGGGGGACCACGCTGGTGCGGAAGGACTCCGAGAGCGAGTGAGATCGCTAGCGCTCGAGCCTGCGGATTGGGAGGGCGAGGGCAAGGGAAGGCAAGGATGGCAAATAGAAGGAGGACTGAGATGCTGATGGCGAGGAGGAGGAGGGGGGGAGGAATGAGGGGTGGAGGAGGAGGAAGAGGAGGAGGAATAACCAAGGTCAGGAAGGATCGGAGGAGAAGGATGATACCCACGACCCCCACAGGGACGGCAAACAGAGCTGCCTGAACGCCATGGCTCGCACAAATCGCGGGCGCCGCCCGCCCCCGCGGCCATGGCGTCTCGAGCTCGGAGCGCACAGGCGAACAAAAGCTCCAGTTTCTCCTCCACCTACTCCTCTTCCTCCTCCTCCTCCTCCTCCTCCTGCTCTCCCTCCTCCCCCTCCTGCTCCTGCTCCTGCTCCTGCTCCTCCTCCTCCTCCTCCTCCTCCTCCTCCTCCCTCGCGCTCCCTCCCTCGTTTCCCTCTCCTCCCTCGCTCTCTTCCTCCTCCTCCTCCTCCTCCTCCTCCTCCAGTGCCTTTGGTGTCGGTTCCACCCTTCCCCCCTCCTCTGCTCTCGTCGTCGGTGGCAGGGGTTCGTGCTGACAGCGCGCAGACTGCGCGACGCACCTGCATGGGGCGGGGCAGCGGAGGCGGAGGGGCACGCGGAGGAAGGTGAGAGGGGGGGGGGCGAGGAGGACGACGAGCGAGGAGGAGGAGTAGGAGGAGGAGGAGGAGGGGGACGAGGAGGAGGAGGAGGAAAAGGATTGAAGTTAAAAGCCGATGGTTCAAGATAACCGTGGAAATAATAGCGAGAATGTCTCAAACGACGCGCTATTTTCACCGCGCGGGTGTAAGCATTGTCAGGATGTACAAACTTAGCGCGCGAAGATGCACGGTTAAGCTTGGGATGTGCGAGCCTTTTTGAAATTAGCAAGTAACGCCAGCAAATAAAGAAAAACAGTGACAACCATAAAAACAGACCTTTAGGATCTGATCCCAAGACGTGGGATCAGATCCCGAAAAAAACCGGATCAGCGGGATCTGATCCTAAGACCCTGTGGGCGGGATCAGGCGGCGCCGAAATCGACGCACTTGCAAAGGCGCGCCTTGTCCAGGAACCCGGTGGCGAAGTACCAGCAGAAGCGTAATGCTGTTGTTGGTGCTGCCGTCAACGGCTCATCATATACACCAGCCTCGAGTTGGCGGCGAGGGGTGGCGCGCCATGCACCCAAGCTGCGTCAGGGACCAGGGAGCGTGGAGAGCGTCGCTGAGCCGAAGTGCAACGTTGTGCCATCGAGCAGGTAGCGAAAGCGAGTGCCCCAGGGCCGCGGTCGTCCAGGGTGCCACGGGCCCAGGGTGCGGGAGCTGCAGTGACATGAGGCGCGGCAGCCAGGACACGCCAGGAACACGCCGCCTGTGACGACCGACAGGGTGCCGGTGTGCTGGAGCAGGAGGTGGAACGAGTCCTGTCCTGCAGGGGCGAGCGCACAGGACCGGGGCGAAGCCGCGCTGTGCCGGGGCGCTGCCGTTGTCCGCGGAGCCCAGGGCCAGGCCGGGGCCGCGCTGCGCCCAGGACCGCGGGGCCGCCGAGGCGGCAAGGTGAAACAGGACCAGCGCGTGCGAGCGCCGGGCACCGGGCCGAAGCCGCGCTGTGCCGGGCACGGCCGCAATGTGGAAGGGGGGGGGTAGCGGGCGGGGAAAGGGGAAAGCGGGCAGGGAGGAGAGGCCAGCCAGGCGGGCCAGCCAGCGCCGCGGAAACCCCACGCCGGCAGACGGGCGGCCCCACCAGCCACCAGAGGCCGGTGAAACCTGCAGAAACAGGAGGGACGAACCGTCCCATTATCAGGTCGGAAGGAGGGGGGGGGGAGGGGGAGACAGGGCCAGGCGTGGTAGAAGGCGACGAACAGGTCGTACCTGAAGAAGAGCGCCAGGAGGCCTTGCCAGGGACAGGAGGGGCGGTCAGGGCAGGGCGCCCAAGGCCGCGAGAACAGTTGGGAGCGTTCGAGACAAGTCAGCGCTTTGGGCGCTGCATTCCGTTCCAGTTGTCCGTGGACCCGGAGCTGCGGGATGGGCCCTGCGGAATCAGGAGGGACTAACCGCCCCATTATCAGGTGCGAAGGAGGAAGGGTCGAGGGGGAGACAAGGCCAGGCGTTGAAGAAGGCGACGAACAAGTCGCACCCGAAGAAGAGCGCCCAGAGGCCTTGCCAGGGACAGGAGGGGCGGTCAGGGCGGCCACCCTAGGCCGCGAGATCAGTTAGGAGCGTTCGAGACAAGTCAGCGCCTGGGGCGCTGCATTCTGGTCCAGTTGTCCGTGGGCCCGGAGCTGCGTGATGGGCCGTCCCCGCGCCCCTCGCCATTGGCCACCTCCCGCTTCCGCTGGAACTCCTGATGCAGGGCGTTTTCGCGGTCCCAGTCGATGTAAGCGCCCGCGCTCCGGGACCAGGTACCCACGCCATAGCGGCTTCGTGCCATGTCGCCCAGGAAGCGGTCGATCATATCGGGCTTCCAGCAGGAAGGGTCGAACTTGACTGCGCCCCTGCTCTTGCCCTTGTCGTGGCCCGCGTGCCTGCGACGGAGTGGCATGTGCTAAACATGCATATTGGTTTACGGGAGTGATGTGATTCTTGCCTCTTGGAACTCTGTTGGGAGGGTTCTTAGAAGCCCCTCGGGACGTCTTGGAAGCATCTTGGGCCTTCTCGGAGCTATCTGGAGAGTCTTCGACCGATCGCTCGGCGACTCGGGGCCTTTTTGGACCGTCCGACAAGCCTCTTGGAGCCCTCTTGGCCCGTCTCGGGGGCCCTCTTGGGGTGAGGCCATCTGGGGCCCCCTGGGGCGTTCCAGAATCAGTCCGGGCAGCGGGATCGAAATCAAGTCGTATCCGTGTTCCAAGAATATAGGTACCAATGGTACTAATACGGTTGAGTATGGATGTTTGTGTATATGTTTATACGTGTATACGTATGTCAGCTGTATACACAAACCCATACCGAGTACTCATTGGTCATAAGTGACGGTCGCAAACGTCGCGGTGCTACATGCATACGCACATAGTAAGCATGCTCAACATGTGCAACCATCAAGCATAATCAGTTATGTAGCATCTCACACTGCAGGGTCACACGCGACAGTCTTTGAAACCATTCGCAGCAACTCCAGGGTGGACATCGCCCAAGCATCTCATTTTTGTCCTTAATGTTCACTTTTAGGCCCCTGGGGGGGGGCCTCATCGGCGCGGCTGGACTTGCTTCGCACTCGTGGCCAGAACGCGCTCGACGACAGGTCCTCAATCTCCTTCAGAGCACCGCTCGCGAGGGGCAGCTGGGGCACTTTGGGCCAGGATGATCTCTTGCAACCGCCGAATCCTCCGCCCAACCCAAATCTACAGGGGCTTGACAATGAAGCATCGACGGCCGCCTTCGTCGAGTCGGTGCCGGGTGCGCCGAGGCACACGTCGCGCCCTCTTGTCAGGCACTTCGTTTGTTGTAACCTAACACGTCGTGTTCGGATGCTAACTAACACCCGGTGCCAGCTATTGGGGCACGCTGACGCAATGATTTTGTCAAACCCTGACCCGGGAGGAATATCCCATTCTCGCGTGCACCCTGCCGAGGGGCGACGAGGTCGACGAGGACGACAGTGACGACCGCGACAACGACGACAAGGACGACGACGACGACCATGACCACGACCACGACCACGACCACGACCACGACCACGACCGCGGCGATGCCGAGAGTCGATTACGACAACGCCAAGAGGCGACGACGATGTCGACGACCACGGCCACGACGACGCAGAGAGCCGACGACGACGGCCATAACGACGCAGGGAGGCGACGACGACGTGCAAGCTGCCCTCCCGCGCCCCCCCTCTGCGAGAGGCCTGCCGAGTCCTCGTCCGAGGAGGACGCGGCGCCCAGGCCGCAGGAGGCCGCACTGGGGCCCAAGTGTTCATTGGCCTCTTCGTCCTCGTCCTCGTCCGTCCTCGAGGTTGGAGGTTGTAGAGTGCGTTTGGCAAGTCTTGGGACCTCGGGAGACTCCTCGCGCGCCGCAGACATGTCTGGGGGTCGGTTTTGAGAGAGCTAATCGTGGTCGTGTTTCTCGCCGTCGTCTTCTTCGATTTCGTCGTCGTCGTTTTCGTCGTCGTCGTCCTCGTTCTCGTCCTCGTCCTGGTCCTGATCGTTGTCCTCGCCGCCGCCGTCGTCGTCGCCGCCGCCGCCGCCGTCGTCGTCGCCGCCGCCGCCGTCGTCGTCGTCGCCGCCGCCGCCACCGTCGTCACCGCCGTCGTCGTCGTCGTCGTCGTCGTCGTCGTCGTCAACGGGGCGGTCGTCGGCGCCGAGGAGGAGGAGGAGGAGGAGGAGGAGGAGGAGCAGGAGGAGAATATGAGGGAGGGTGATGTAGGAGGGGGATTGTGATGTATTCTGCGTCTCTTGGGCCTTGTGCAACGGCCTCGTCGCCACGGCTGGATTCGGTCCAAAGTCATAGTCAGAACGCGCCCCAGGACAAGTGTACCAGGGTTGGTCTTTGAGATGGAGCATCCCATACCACCAGGCGTCGCGACGTACACATACACTCCTACTCCTTCCCCTCCTCCTTCCCGCCCCTCCTCCTGGGCGCCTCCTCCTCCTCCGCCAGCGCCTCCTTCTCCTCCTCCTCCTACTCCTCCTCCTCCGCCCCCGCCCCCTCCTCCTCCTCCTCCGCCTCCTCCTTCTTCTCCTCGTCCTCCCCCTCCTCCGCCTCGTCGTCGTCCTCGTCGCCTAGAGGCCGCGGCGGGCCCAGTCCTCGCAGCGGCGGCGGGCCCCACCGAAGTGCTGGCGAAGGCCGCGCCAGCGGAGGCCGCGCCGGGCCGCGCCTTCCGGGGCCAGCCGCTCCCAGCTGCTTCGCCCGGCCCGCCTCCCCCAGCGGTGGCCCCCAGCGGCGCGGCGCAGGCCAGTCGGGGCGCAGCCGCCGCCCTGGTTTCCTCGCGCTGTGAAAGAATAGCGGCGGACGGATGTTTTCAGAGGTTCCCGGAGGCTATTGCAATCTCGGGATGCTTTCCAGCAGCTGCGCCTCGCCGAGAGCGGTTCGTCGGGAGCAAAGTCACGACGAAAGGTTTTCGGCCATTATTGGCTTCTGGGAGCCCTTATCGGTGCCCGCGACCTTAACATGATTGACCCACGAACCCGGAAAGGAATATAGAAATGGCATGGCAACGGTTTCAGAACATTTGATTCGGCGACGGGCAGTTGCAGTGCTGAGTGTATCGATCTTGATGTACCGTGCCAAGGGCTGTGCTGTGCTGCGCCGTGCTGAATTGCGATCTGCCATGCCGCGATTATGCTCTATAGCGCTGTGGGTCGAGTCCTCCTGAGCATCCGAATTCTGACCGAACTGATCTGGATCTTAAGCTCGAGCTGCCTGAGCACATGGTAACCGCCCCAGAGCTAGTTGAACCAGAAACGTGGGGGCGTTCAATTAACGCGACCTCAAGACCCTACTCAGCTCCGAAAAGGAACGACACGACACGGGGCACAGGCTCATGGACGCGCCAGAGGATGTGCCAGGGGCGCAATAGGGGATGCGCCAGGAGAAGTGTCAGGGGACGTATCAGGGGACGTGCCCTGGACGTGTCAGTTAGTGACCTGCCACGGGACATGGCAAGGCGCGTGCTATGTTGCGGCCAGAGGACGTCATGCCAAGGGACGTTGCAAGGGGCGCGCCACGGAACGGGCAGGGGAAACGCCTGGGAACGAGCCAGGAACGAGCCAGGAAACGCGGCAGAGGACGAGCCAGGGAACGTGCCACGCCGAGCGAGAGGCATGTTAGTGAACGTGCCAGGGCATGTCACGCCAGAACGTCGCAAGGGACGCGCCAGGGTACGTGCCAGCGCGCCGGGGACGACCCACGGACGGGCGAGGTTGGACTGCGACGCAAGCGGTTCGCTCGAGACATCCTCAACACCTCCTCATGCTACACATCCGCCTGGGCGACCTGGAGACCTGAAAGCAAGCAGTTCGCTCGAGACATCCTCAACAGATCTTAATGTTAGACATTTGCCTGGGCGCCTTGGGCACCTGAAAACAAGCAGTTCGCTCGAGACATCCTCAAGACATCTTAACGTTAGACATCGGCCTGGGCGACCTGGAGACGTGAAAGCAAACGTCTCGCTCGAGACATCATCAACACCTCCTCATGCTAGACATCCGCCTGGGCGACCTGGAGACGTGAAAGCAAATGTCTCGCTCGAGACATCCTCAACACATCTTAATGTTAGACATCCGCCTGGGCGACCTGGGGACGTGAAAACAGCGTTTCGCTAGAGAAGTTCTCAACACCTCCTCATGGTAGACATCCGCCTGGGCGACCTGGACACGTGAACACAAGCGTCTCTCTCGCGACATCCTCAATACATCCTCATGCTAGACATCTGCCTGGGCGACCTCGACGCGTCAAAACAAACGTCTCGCTCGAGGCATCCTCAACACATCCTCATGCTAGACACCTGCCTGGGTAACCAGGACACGTGAAACCAAGCGTCTCGTTCGAGACATCCTCAAGACCTGGACACGCGAAAACAAGGATTTTAATTGAGACATCCTGTGAATTCTGGTCCCCAATACAGGAACAATCCATAACACAAAACAAGCGTTTCGTTCGAGGTATCCTCAACAATTTCTGGAAAACTAGCGTTTCGCTCGAGACAGCCGCAGAGAGACAAAGCTGAGTGCAAAGCACATGAGCACAAATGCCGTGGCCTTACAATGCGTCGCAATACCGCTTCACGGTTGCGCGCCAGGCTGCGGCAGAAATTACGCTATCTTGCTAGAGCAGCGGCAGGGCCTCCTCACCCCCCGCGGCCCGGACAGCGTGCGCAAAAACAGTTTCGATCCAAGTTCTCCGGGGGCGCCCCCGTTTTCGCTTGAAGTTATGTGCTATAAGCTGGCATGACAAAGGGCGTAGGACCAGGCACCTGACCAGGTCATCAGCTGGCTTCGGGCAATATGCCCCATGAGCAGCAGCTGACGATTCAGCAAAGTATTGCTCAGTGGGGCAGCACCTGCTTGCTCCAACACACTTGAATTTGTTACGCGGCTAATGTACGAGTGAGGTATGCGAAGTATTTGCCTCAAGCATCTCACGTGGAATGCGTCGAGCTTCTTCGTCTCCGCCTGGTTCAGGAAGGCCGTGTGCAGACAATACAACAGTTTACTGAGAATGCAAGCGTTGAACACCTCCAGCTTCCTTGACTGCGTCAGCGAGGAATGGCCCCACACTCGCTTCGACTTGTCGAATTCCGCCCGCGCGGCACCAAGTCGGCGGGAGAGTTCAGGGCCGATCTTCCCGTCGCTCGAAATCAAGCTGCCCAGATATGAAAGAGCGTGTTCTACCGCTGCTGGCGGAAAACCGGGGGGGGTCACTACCGGTTCGAACCCCTCCCCCCCCCCCCCCTCCGGAAAACCGGGGGGGGTCACTACCGGTTCGAACCCCCCCCCCCCCCCCAATCATGAAAAGGGGGGGGGGTCACTACCGGTTCGAACCCCCCCCCCCCCTCGAAAACCGAGTGGGGGTGCGGACAGTGGTGGGGACGGTGTTGGTGGGGACAGTGGTGAGGGGACAGCGGGACAGTGGTGGGGACAGTGGGGGGACAGTGGGACAGTGGTGGGGACGGTAGTGGTGGGGACAGTGGTGGGGACAATGGTGGGAACAGGGGGGACAGTGGACAGTGGTGGGAACGGTGGTGGTGGGGACAGTGGTGTGGGGACAGTGGGAATGAGGTGGAAACACTGGGACAGTGGAGGGTACAATGGTGGTGGAGACACTGGTAAAGGCGGTGGCGAGGACGGCGGTGGGACAATGGGACAGAGGTACAGTGGGGACAGTGGTGGGGACAGTGGGGACAGTGGTGGAAACAGTGGGACAGCTCAGTGGGACAGCGGAGGAGTCAGTGGGACAGTGGGGACAATGGGGATAGGCAGTGGTTGGGTCCGTGGAGACAGTGGGGAGAGTGGAACCGTGGTGGGAACAGTTGTGGGAACAGTGGGGACAGTGCGACAGTGGTGGGGGCATTGGTGGGGACAATAGGGACGGTGGTGGAACCAGTGGGGACAGTGGTGGTGAGGACAGTGGTGCTGGGAACAACAGTGGGGGATGTGATGCGAGCGGTGGTAGGGACCGGGAGTCGTTTGCTGGCGGTGCGTGGGGGGGGGGTCGAACCGGTAGTGACCCCCTCCGGTTTTCGAGGGGGGGGGGGGGGGGCAGCCGGTAGTGACCCCCCCCGGTTTTCCGGATCCGGAGGGGGGGGGGGGGAGGGGTTCGAACCGGTAGTGACCCCCCCCCGGTTTTCGAGGGGGAGGGGGGGGGGAGGGGGGGGAGGGGGGGGCCGGGGGGAGGGGGGGGGGGGGAGGGGGGAGGGGTTCCGGCAGTGGGGGGGGGGGTTCGGAGGGGGGGGGGGGGAGACCCCCGGGTTCTGGAGGAAAAGGTTGGCAATTTTCCACAGTAAAGCGGCGGTGGATCACGCTCTCTCCCAGATATTGAATGCTCTCTTTCTGCGGCACCCAGGAACCGTCTGGCCTCGGAATATGCGCATTACAGCCAACGGCTAGAACTTCCAGCTTGCGCCAATTGAACTGTAGCCCGTACTGCGATCCAGCTTTCTCGATGCTGCGCATGTATGCCGTCGCTGTATCGGACTCGCCAGACACAAGCAGTGTGTCGTCGGCGTAGACCAACTCATGCACCGCCTGGGAGGGGTCCAGCAGTGGCCCGGCCTCCTCCTTGGCGTCTCGCAACAACACGGTCATCACGATTGCGAATAGGAAGGGCGACAGCGGGCATCCCTGGCTGATGCCGAATTCCTGCGCCCTCGGCGCCGAGGTCGAGCCGGCATCCCGTACACAGAAACTTCGCTCCCGGTAGATCGCCCGCACCACCTCCACGAACTTCGCGGGCACGCCAAATCTAACAAGAGCTAGTGCTAGAGACTCCGGGTAGACGCTGTCGAAGGCTTTCGCCCAGTCGAGAGCCAGCAGGACGACCTGCCCGCCCTTCTCGGCCCAAGTTCTTTCAAGAATTCGCCGTGCCAGAAAAATGGCGTCCGCTGTTCCGTGCTTGGACTTGAAGCCGAACTGAGTTCGCCAAATTCGGCTCTCGGCCCCGCCCGCCAAGCAAAACTGCAGCGAAAATTCGGTAGCCCACGGCCGTCAAGGAGATGGGCCTGTAGTTTTCACACTGGGCACTGGGCCACGTCTCCCTTCTTGAATAGTGTTGCGACCAGTGCCTCGTGCCACTCTGCTGGAACTGTTGCGCCGCTCCAGCACTTATTGCACAGCTCGACAGCCCATCTGCAGGCAGGCGTCCCAGCTCGGCAGATTGTCTTCCAAAACTCTGGCGGGATATCGTCTTTGCCAGAGGCCTTGCCTTGCTTCATACGTGCAGCAGCGCCAACGACTTCGTCTTCGGTGATTGGGCCACATGGCACGGCAAGCTCGTCGCCAGGGGGGTCCCCGTCCGGCGCTGCGCTTGTCGGCCGCACTGCCCATTGGACTTTGCAAAGGTACTCTGCCATTGTGTCGGCACGCTGGTCGGAGTCAACAAGACGACCTTCCATGTCGGCTAATCGGCCCTGCTGGGCTTGCGCTCCTTTTCTCAGGGTGCGTATCGGCGCCCAGTCTCTAGAGGCGAGCTGGCTCTCTAACCAATCCGAACGGTCCGCCCGGACGGAATCTCTGACAGCTCGGTGCAAGCGCCGCTCTTCCTGCGTGTTCCCGCGCGCTCTCGCTGAGTCTCTCTGGTCTATGAACTGGAGTGTCTTGTCAGAGATCCATTGTCGCCGCGGTCTCCTCGCTAGAGTCGGGAGAGCGTCTTGGGCAGCACAACGAAAGGCATCTGTCATGCTCGACGCGAGCTGCTGGACGCTCGCGCCCCCGTGCTCGCACCCACTTGAGCTCAT